GGGGCCTGCGGATCTTATGGCAGGTGGTGGCGAGCATGGCCAAGGGAGTCGAGCCTAACCTCGGTTCTTCCTGCGGAGAAGGGGGACAAGAAGGGGCGTCAGCTTCAGCGCCTGGCCTCGCAACAACACCCCCTCCCCCGCGCACCCGCCTCCCAGCACCCCTCGGCCCCCCCCCCAAGCCGCTGACCCAGGCGGGCTCCATCTCCTCTACCTCCGAGAAGGGAGTGAAAGTTTTGCTGGCGCTGCCCGCCCCCCGGCCGGCCAGCCCGCCCCGGCCCCCCCCCCAAGCCGCTGACCCAGGCGGGCTCCATCTCCTCTACCTCCGAGAAGGGAGTGAAAGTTTTGCTGGCGCTGCCCTCGCCTTCCTCTGACCCGGGCTTGCGAGCCAGCGCAGGGTTTGTCCGCCCGCTGGCTGGGCTAGGTGGACGCCAATAACCCCAGAGGGGGTGGAAAAAAGTTATTTCCGCGCTGCTCAGGCTAAACCCCAGCCCGGAGGCGGCTCCGTTGCAGCCCGTCCTCCCTTTCCCAGGAGCTACTAGGATCGCTTCTCTCAGGCCGAAACAGCCCAGGCTGCATGAAGCTGTGAGACAGTCTTATCTAAGTAGCGATTGGGGGGGAAAATACAAGTTCAACGTACCTGCTGGACGCGACGGGCTGAAACAAGATTAAAGGCAAAAAGAACCCCACAATGTGTGGCAAATTAGCACTTGCACACGGAAGGAGAAAGCGCTGCTTTTTTTCCTCCAGCAGTCACATGGACAGAAGAGGCCACTTCACCGGGGACACAGGAACAGCACAGCCCGGGCGCTGTAGGTTGCTTCTACAAATGCCCTTAAAACCTTTCCCTGCACACTGAAAAGTGACTCTGGCCCCTTCCTCCCGCCCCCCCTTTCTTTTCGCCTAAACTCACTTGTACTTAAGAAAAAAAAACTTCAATAGAAGAGACTGATAGCCCTGGTCAAGACAGGGGCTATTTTAACCCCCTCCAATCGACAATAAAAAGAAACTAATTAAACCAGCAAGAGAAAAAATCCTTAGACTCACCCCTAGAAGTGAAGTTGCCATCACACAAAAGTGCCCTCCTCTCAGAGGATCTTTTTTATATTGATAAATCAGAGGCAGTGTTTTTTTTAGAGGTGTGCAATACAATGATCAGTTCCGCCCATTCCACCACAATTGTAGCTCCCTCTCAGGCTTTGAAGTGCCGCTGAGTCCCCGCCAGCCAATCTACAGCCTCGCCGGGCCTCTCAGAGACGTTCCTGCGTGAGGTCATCAACACCGCCAAACGCAGCCGGCAGCCGCCGCAGCAACAGCCGCTCTCCAAAAAGAAAGACACAGAGGGAGAGGCTGCACGTTTAAGGCAGGGCGGACAAATACACGATGCCCACAAATAATGCAAATACCCCCCAGTGCATCTGCTTCTCTCTTCGCAGTCCCCTTCCTTCTAACAGCCTCTTCATTCATTTTTGTAGCCTTTGGTCCTCTCCTTCCTTCCCGCCCCTCCTTCCTCTTTAGCAATGGACAAGCAGTCGGGGGTTTGCAGCTAGACGTTGCAGGTTATGCCTTCTGCTGGACTTTTACTTTTGTCAGGTGTCTGGTGGCTCCGAAGGTCCCACTTTCCTCCTGGGTGTTAGTTTCCTCATAGCTAGTTCGGATTACTGTTCTGTCCCTTTGAATTCAGACTGTTTATCTTTTCGAAGGGAAACGGGAAAATATTTACGTGCAATGACTATCTCCCTATAGTTAGGTAGATGTCTACCCGGATTCCTTGTACGTTGCTTTGTGTGACTGTTGTTGGCACGCCAGCGTAAGCCACATCTCAGACACGTGGGGACAGGGACAGTGCCCTGGGTTATAGCTACACGGGAGGTCATTTGCAGTATAGAGCCTCAGAAAGTGTCATCAGAGTTTCAGGAACACAGCAGTTATAAAAGAATGTAACCAATATTTCATTTGCTAGTCCCTCTATTGTGTGTACAGTACTGAAAACTCGCCGTTTAAACCTCTCTGTAGTCCAAATGTCGATAATTTAAAGGTGGAAGTTATTAAAGGTGGAGAGCTGCGTTCTTTTGGCTGGCCTGCTATCTTTGAGTTGTTTTTTTGTTTGTTTGTTTGTTTGTTTTTCAATTAATGCAATACCCCAGATCTTCCTAAAATCCTGAAAAAAATACAGCTGTCTCGGAGTGAGGTTGTATCAGCGGCGTGCATTGCGAGCAGCAAAACCGGCTGTTTGTTTGGGGGGCTGACTTGTTTTAATGTTGCGGGGATATTGACCGTACATCATATCTATTGATTAAGGGGGTAACGTACATTATCATACTTTGAAGTAAGAGTGAAGTAAATTAATGAACTGCTTTCTTTCTCTGAAGGCTGACGGTTACCATAGATGTCGTGTTTCTCTCTGCGAGCTGCTCTGAATGATTTTAGCCTGTTGAGAAGGCGTGACAGGCCAGCCCAGAAGGAGGAAGGGGTGGGGGAAGGAGGGAACTCCGTTTAACAAATAAAAAAGAATTAACTTCATTGCTTTGGTCTCTTTCTATAATGATATTCATTTTACAGACCTAATGCACGCTTGTTTAAATTTCAGGTTTAATTCTAATCAATACCATCATCCCCAAAGAGGGGGGGCGCATTTTCGTGAGAGACTCCCTTGTATAAATGCTTATTAACTTTTATCTCTACTTCCTTTATCTGTTGGAGCCGGGGTGTAACTATTAAGACATAGATCAGAAAGCTTAAGAGCAAAACACGCATTTTAAGTAATATGCTTTTCAAGAGGAATAGAAAATCGCATTTTGTGGTCTGCCAGAGGCTGTCTAAAGATTTTGTATTCTGTCTGATAAAGTTCCTCTATGTATGTTAACCATACTCAAGCAAAGCGCAATGCTTAAGTAATATTTGTAATGACCTCTTTAGTTAAGTCTTTTAATTAGATCGATTCCACATTTGTCTGCATTTTGTGTGAAATGAGCCTTCTTGGATGAGGTTTGTTTCAGTACTTTTTACTCAATTTGCTTTTTAAAATTTTGTTCTGGACGTTTTTATTTTTCATTGTATTAAGTTTCTTTCTGTCGAAAAAATAAAGCCGAGAGACTTTGACGTTGGAAATAGCAATAAACTTTTACAGAAATCGTACAGGCAACTGGCGCGGGAAATTGACAACATGTTGGGGGGGGGGAGGACAAAAGCAAAAGAGATAATCATAACTTAATACAAACCACAAAAATGGGGTTAGTAGCATTACTCTGCGGGTCAGATAGTTTCACTGAAACTGGAAAAACAGCAATTCTGAACTTTGAGAGAAGTTGCGCTGATCATTTCTGAATTCACCCCAGGAACATCTGTAAACTTCCCCTTTTGTATACATTGCCTGCTGGGCAGAGGGTTTCAGGAAACTGACAATTTTGTTTGCATTTGCGTTATTGACCCACTGCACTTAAGGGTGTATTACATCAAGATAATATGCAGGATTGTGGGGAGGAGAGAAGAGGAGAAAAGCTAGCAAGTAAAGGCTTTTCCGAAATTAATTAAAACTTTTTTTTTCCATTTGAAGTTTAATGTACTGGGGTAGATAAATGTTCGTGCTGTTTCTTGAAAACCTGTGGGATCCACTCTCAATAAAGCGAAAATCTATTAGCATTCTGTATGCATCTGCGGCATAAATTTCATTTGAATTTCAAATTTAATAAACCAGGAGGTTTTTAATCATCCCTGGTTTTATTTGTTTGATATTAACATGCTTATTGACCGGGTCTGTTGACCAGTTTGATCATTACAGGACAGCAAAAAG